AAGGAACAAGTCATTCTCCATATAATATAAGTTACAGATAGATTGGATTTTCCTATGTTAAAGACTCTTCATTAAAATTCCTATTTCATCTTATTTTTGGATTTAACTTAGTCGTTGATATTTCATTAGTAGCTTTGTGGAGTTGATTGCAGGATATGCTAGGAAACTGGACCATGAAAACAAATACACCTACGGATAATCTATTTGTAACAATTTCAGTAAATCATCCGAAACATGGTGAATATTTCTCAGCTTCATTGATGGCCAAAAGAGTATCATCCTCCACACATACTGATCTAGATTTATTCTTCTGGCTAATGCCTCACAAGATTGCTTTAGGGATATATTGGCAGGTAACCCCTTTAGACTGGAAATAAATTCATTGTTGATAACTGAATATCTTGCGATAGTTTCAATAAGCATCTGTTAATGCATCTTAGTTCAATGGGCAATGACTTTCTTGGTTGAATCTCTGTTGTATGCTCGCTCTTTTTACTCCTAAATGACAAGTTTCTGCCTCGTATTAGGTTTTCCTGCTCCTCCAAATTAATTAGAAGATCTCCAAAACTTGAATTTCTTGCTTTTAGTTTTCTCTCATGAATCATGTTTATTAATGTATTGGTAATAAATGTACCGGGATGAAGACTCTTTGACCCAACACGTGGCAAGCGCAGAAGGAACCCATAGTCAACCCCGAGTCAGCTGGTGCCAACTTGGCCAAAGACCTAAGATCTTTTAACCTGTCTGAGAGGTCCAAGAGGCCAGACAATTCACCTTCCCAACGCCAGCCAAACTCTGAATATTCATTTTATCACATCCAACAACCACTGTCTTATCCCCGAGAGGTGCAGGAGGAGATCTAGGAGTCGGTTACAGTTAGATTATATATAAATATCACCTTTTTAACACGTTGATACACATTGACACTTTGTTTTGTAGATACTGTAGCTCCATCATTGTTCATACATTTCTCGTTACTACTGTTGGCTATCAATTAGCTCGCTGCAATCACTAAGAATCACTCGCTCTTGTTGTTATTTCAATATGATTATTTACTTCATTACTGCCTTTTAAGTTATTTTCGTTACAATTTGTATAGGAATGGCATTCATTCCCTTTCTCCTTTTCACTATATATATCTCAGGCTCTTAAGCTTTGGTGGAAGGGTGTTCCTTTCTTGCAACATCCAAGGTACTACAATCCTAGATACAGAGAAGAGGCCATACTATCTGATGAGAAGCTTCAATGTTGTCCGGCGTTTGTATTTGAGACACAGAACAATCAACAGGCTGGAGAACACTGTTCCAATCCTGCAGATCACTCAACTTCAAGACATCATGGCTTCACTTGGAGGGATGCAAAATGGCCCTGGTGCTAAAAAGAATGCAGTAAGTTTCTCAGATATAACGTTAAGATCTTTCTCTTTCTTCGGGGTCAGTTTTTTAATTTTCCAGTAGTGTCTTGAAGTTTTGATTTGCATTGTGAAGTTAATATGTTTTTCTATGTTCAATTATTTTCTGCAGAAGAGTAGCTCAGCCTTTCGTAAATAAATGGCCCTCTTGACAAGAAAATTAAGAAAAGAGAGTCTGGGTAAGTGTTTATGTGAAACAATTTAGATTTTCAATTTTCATGATAACCTTACAAAGTCAAGCTAGTACATTAATAGCATGAGGAAATTGTTGTACTGCTATTTCTGGAAACACGATAAGTAAATTCCGATTCAACTTAAAAAATAGAGCAGATCAACTAAATTTGAGCTGAGAGGTCTGTATTAACTATTAAGGCTGCACTTGGTCTGATGTAATACTTTCAGTTGAAATGTTACCATAACTTTTTTTGACGGTCAAAAACTTAAAATTAGGAACAAGGTGGGAGTGGCCTCCGTGGTGGAGAATATATGACATACATATTTAGTCCAAAAGTTTGCTACAAGAATATATGTAATGCAAAAGGAAGCTAAGTTATTGCTCAAAGTCTTAGATAAAAATAGGAGTGGTTCAACTCATACAGAACTAGGAAATAAACATTCATTATAATAAATATTTTCTTCCATCTCCATCCTGGCTAGCTCGATTCATATCACCTGAAAGTATCAAATTTAACCACAGATCAATTAGGCACTTAAAATTGGGCTTCAATGCTATGAGCTTCTGAAACTAAATGAGATCTTTGTAAAGTTGATCATTATGAGTCTTACAACGAATTCAAACAGAATAGAGATAAACAAATAAAAGAAAAGGTCCAACTCATCTTTTAGTATCACCTAGTAAGAGGCTGTTGATTGAAATAATAAGTTTTAGAAGAATTAGGTTCGAATAAATTTGCTAGAAACAGATGGCACTAGGTACAAGTGAGTCAAATGTGATCTTACAAGCTGTTTATTTGTGCTATACACATTGTTTGTCATCTCTTAAAAATCGGAAAAAAGATGAGAATTTTTTGGAAATGTTGGAACTCACTTGAAAGAAAGAAAAAATTGCCAATCAAATTGTGGAAAAATCTTCAAATAGTTATCTAGTAGAGTTTAGACTATCTATAGGGTGTGACCATTCTCCAAATCCTGTTAACATGAGATGTTTTGTACGCTGGATTGCTTTTTTAGTTATCTAGTGGAGTAAATTTAAATATATACTTCTTTTTTTAGGGAAAGGGAACTTAAAAACTACTTCTACTTAGTTCTTCAATGCATAAAGTACAAGGTAGGATCTTGGTAGGTGAGAAAGCGCAAAATTAGTTGTAGGGAAAAGTGATTTGTTCCTCTGTTTGGCCAAACTTCTAAAATCTTAAGTGTATTTTCTCGAAAATGCTTTTGAAAAAGAGTACTTTTGGGGAAAGAAGAGAACTTACTTGCACTTTGTTACAAGGATTGTTAACATCACAATAAGCTTCAAGAGTAATCAAAGCTTGATTGTCTAATTTCATGGCATAATTATAGCAAGGGCAGCTCTTGCCTAGTATGCTTCTGAATGTTGGGCAGCATGCATCTATGGAGCTTGTTTTCGTCATGCAAGTTTTAACCTTTGCTTTATCAGCGGCACTGCATTTCGTCTGCGCCTGAGGGTGCACCCGGGGGCTTGGGCTGGCAGAAATGGTCGCCACCGCTTCCACTGTGCCAGTCCTACTCCCATCAGCTACCACTTTCTGTTACATTTTTTACAAAATGCTTTGTTAGGTTCTAGCAATAACTTCTATTTTCGCTTTGTTAGGTTCTAGCAATAACTTCTCTTACAAGCTGTTTATTTGTGCTATACACATTGTTTTTCTATTTGTAAGACAAAGAAGGAAGAACTTACTTGAACACTTTTACATGGATTATTGACATCACAATAGCTCTGAAGAGTAATTAAAGCTTGATTATCCAAATCCTCAGCATAATTGTAACACTTACAATTAGCACCAATTGTCCTCTTAAATAAGGGGCAACATTTATCTATAGAGACTGTTTGTGTCATGCACTTTTTTATTTTCCCCTTATCACTATCGCTGCAACTAGTGGTCGCGCTAAAGCGCGACTGCGAATAGGTGACGATATTTTTCGCCACCGCTTGCTGATGGCTGCAGATGACAACTGCAGCCATCAAGAACATGAGAATCACATACCCTCTAGTCATTTTCGCGATATCTAATCGTATTCGTTTCTTTTCTCTAGCTACTATGAATCTTTTGTGTTGTACAAACCAATTAAGCTAGTAGTTCTTCTATTTATTTATGCACATAAAATAGGATGGTGGTACTGTTTTAGAAAATATTTAATAACAAGTGGATGAAAAAATAACATAAAGTTGACAACAAGTGGACATAATAATACGAAAAAGTCGAACACATGCTCATAGAAAGAGGAAATAAGGTGATTAATTTGAATAATGTTACGGTAGGTAAGGAGCTAGATAGATGCAAAGGTCATCCAGATCTCTTTCGTTGAAAAATTATATTGAATATATGAAAATAATTTTTCATATTTTTAGTGTAAATTTTGATTTCGCGACTAATATTAGGTTTGAATTTAGGAATCACTTTTCCCTAAATTTTTTTTAGATCTAAGTATTAGGATTTGGTTGAAATAACATTATGGTTTCCACATTCTCCCAAGTGCAACAGCAAATTTAATATTGCACACAATATATTCTCCTAGCCGCCCCCTTTTCTTTAATAAACTTATTTTTACTTTTTGTCTCTTGGTTGAAAATTGAAAGTATCTAGAAGTGTTCTCCATTATTAACTACTAATAATATAAAATTTAAACAATATATCATTTGGAGTGGGATACGCATGCAACCATGTGATTGATGTGAATCCTACCTAGAATTTGAATGTATGATCTAAAATCAAAATTTTGAATTTCTTAGTCCTAATTTTTAGACTTTTTTTTAGCTTTCAACCCGCTGTTTGATGTTCGTATTGTAGTCCGACTAATTTGAATTTGCGCTGAATAGGACCTCATTCAGAACTTGAGAACTCTAATTAAAGAAGTAGCTCTATCCACTATACCATAACAATCCGTATTTACCTTATTTGATAGCATAAATAGCCTAGGTAAAAAATGATATTTTGGTGAAAGCACTTCTCTTCCATTCTGTTCTTTTTATTATTGCTTAGTATTTGACATTTGACGTTCAATATTTGTTTTGGGATCCAATTAATTCAAATTCACACAGAAAAATCCCACTTTTGGAAGGTAAAGTATTCTCTACCAAAGGTGACTTCATAACTCAAAACTTTGAACTCGAGACCTTTGATTAAGGATAAAGAAATACTTACCAAGATAAGATGCAGATTGAAGAACCTGAAATGGAACTTAAACGTTTCTAGATAGATTATTGGACTAGTTCAACTTGTGGAAGAGTAAGATAACAGTTGGACAACTTATAACGATGTTTGTCCCACATATCACTAGGAAGATCAGGATAAAAGAAAATGTGAACTTGACACAAATGATATTTTGTGATGCAGTATTCAGCATCAATTCTGGAAAAAAGAACATAAAACTGAACAGAGAAGAAATTTGGCAAGTTCACCAACAATCAATGTTCATATAGAAGAATAAGAAACTATGGGATACATAGTAGTTTTGTATATACACACACTAAGAAATCTAATAAATTTTTTACTATGAATCCAATCTTTCATTGTAGTATTAACTTGAGGTCATCATAGGAACATGCCACTTTGGACACCATCATGCTTTTAAATCATGAAAATTTAAATCTGAAACAAATCATCAATTGACTCCGTATCACATATCCAAACATATCCTAGATCTCTTCATAGTTAACCTCGTGATGATCAATATGGATGATGGTGAGATAGTTGAGATTATCAGACTCATGTATGGTTTGTACTTGTAGGAATAAAAACAATTTTGTTGGGAGAGTCATTTTCGAAATATATCATACAAAATTGTCGAAATTCAAATTTAATGGACTCCAATATGAACACTGGATATCAAAAGAGAAATTAATTTTGGATTAATCTTTGTCCATTTGTTGATTCTTGAAAATAAGTGCACAAAGAATCTATATGTGGATTTTCCATTCTCCAAAATCGTACTTTTGGATTCACATTTTAAGATGATTTCAGTTGATATTTATAATTTCCCCTTTAATTTAGATATGCATAAATAAACAATTAAACTTATATAACGTTGAACAAGCTAAGTAAACACACATCTTACATGACACAATATATTCTATATAATATAATACAAAATCAGTTCATTTATGTATTATGCCTTCTTGAAATGAAAATCTTATGCAGGTCGAATCAATTAATCAGAACTTTAATACGTGTATCGAACACCAATAAAAAAACAAAAACTAAAAATGTCCACTAAATCAATCCTATAGTAAGACATTATAGTTAAAGGAAAAACTTGCATTCTCTACAAATTATTATAAAAGGAAGAATTATTGGAACTTTTGGCTGGTGACTTGTTGCCCTTTTTGCGTCTATTGTTGTTTCTGAATCGACATTTAGCTCCACAAGTTGATTAATCTAGGATGTATACTGATCGGTTCGGTTCGGTTTTTAAAATTTTAATTTGATTTATCGATTTGTAAATATGCGAAATCATCATAGAACCATTAAGATATTAACTTATCAGGTATCAATTTATCAGTTATTGATTAGTTATTAGTTTAACCGTTAAGATTTGGCAAAAAAAATCAATGAAAATAACTTATACATAAGATAATAAACCAAATGAACCATGCACATGAGTTGACAAATTTTGCATCTTTCTCAAAAGTATAAACACTGACACATTGTAGAGTAATCGAGAGTTTAAGATAGTTAGAAATAAAGTATGAAACTAAACTCTAAGTTAAGAACTTTATATAGTGAATGTATAAATATAATTTATTGTAATTTTCGACGGGTTATCGATTAATTAATCCATTTAAAAAAAAACTTCAAGCCGAACTATTACCAAAACCCCTAAATAAATAAAATTTCATATCCAATTAACGTTTCTTAATAAAGAGGAAGAGCCAGAGTCAAGTTTCATGTCCAACAAATTGCTTTATATAAAATAATATTTTAATTTTTGTACTAGATTGAATCCATTCTTGTTTATTATTAATTAAAAGTTTAGCATTGTAGTACTATAAGATACTCATTATAATAAAGATTCGTGCAAAAACGTGTGGATTGATATATTCCAAAATTAACAGAAAAAAATTCCATATAAATTGAGACTTTAATTTAGTATAAATGAGGTTTGATTCTAAAGGACATTTTTAATGGATGCAAACTATTTTTTAAAATTATAGTAGTAAGTGTATGCATGTGCAAATTGAGTTATTATTTTAATGAAAAACGTAGATAACTTTTCTTTACATATTAGATTTAAATGTTTCAGTACAAAAGTCGAAAAGTAAAAACAATTAATAGAAAATTACATAATGAAAAATAAAGAAAAGAAAATAATAAAAGAGAGTAATAGGTATATTTTGTATAGGTATCCTAGAATTAGAAGAACCTTGTCTTCCTTAACGATCGAAATAAAAAATATCTTTTAGCGGTAATAAATATATACATTAACAAAGAGTGATAATATTTTTTATCAACATTTATTAATTGCCATTAGATTCAATGTCGCTATAGGTTTTAGAGATATTTACAAAGAATTTATCTTGAATTATACTTTGTTGCAATTGAATTCCTCATATTAGAAGGTGACAATTTGCAAAAATTATTCCCAAATGCAAAAATTCATGTTGGTTGTGTTAAAATTGTTGGAAGGGAAGTTTTTGTTTTATTAGTTGCTATTATAATATTGCCAACAACATGGTTGAAAAGTTTAGGTTTATTGGCTTATGTTTCTATTGGTGGAGTTTTGGCTTCAATTAGTTTTTTCAATATTTTGGGTTGGTGCAATTGATGGTATTGGATTTGAAGAAAAAGGTGTGATTTGGAGATGGGATGGATTGATAAGTGCAATAAGTATGTATACATTTTGTTATTGTGGTCATGCTGTTTTCCCAACAATATGCAATTCCATGAAGGATAGGAGCCAATTTCCCAAGGTGATAATATCTTATTGATAAACATGTATTACTTTAGTTTCAGTTTACGTGGTACTTTTTGGGCATAATACATAAATGTGCCCTTTAACTTGGCCTCATTTTACGTTTATGTCCTTCAATTTTGGGTATGCACAAGTAGACATTTAAACTTGTATAAAGTTGAACAAGTAGATACATGAGTCCTACATGGCATTATACATGTAGGATACCATGTAGGATAAAAAAATGACATGTAGGATGCCATGTAAGACAAGTGTGTCTATTTGTTCAACTTTATAAATATTTAAGTGTCTATTTGTGCACACCGAAAGTTGAAGGGCCTAAATGTGATTTGAAGCCAAGTTAAAGGGCATATTTATGTATTATGCCTACTTTTTGACTAGAAATAAATCTTAAGAAAGAGGAAATATTTTTTTTGAAAGTTGTGGTTGTATATCGTTTCATGAAGGGCGTAAAAGGAAATTTAAAGTTATGTTATTTTTCTGTTATAGAAAAATCAATGACATCTCTTTTGGGACGACAAATTAAAAATTATATAAAAGTACGTCAAAAAATGAGATGGAGGAAGTATTACTCCCACGCCTCATAGAAAGTGCTTCAACACTTGGAAGTTGGAGAGAAATACTCCAACCACAGAACTAGACAAAACAATACAAAAACATACAGAAAGACACAAAAATATACGGAACAGAAACTTAGCGTGAGATTCAAGAACTTTTCAATTTATAAATAAAATATTTTTGTTCAATATTTGATTGAATATGAAGCTGGCAGATGACATTTCAATCTAAAAATAATCATATGTCTATGTCTAATTATAAAAAAAAATGACATTTCATATTTTCTCATACTAAATTATAAATACCTTTGCTACAGCCTACATGTCATATTACACCTAAACATATTTTATTTGATCATTGTATATATAACTAAAATCCTTTTTTTTTCTTTTTTGTCAAACAGGTTTTATTTGTGTGCTTTATATTAAGCACCATAACCTATGGATCAATGGCAACTATGGGGTACTTAATGTATGGACAAAATTTAATGTCACAAATAACATTAAATCTCCCTACCGGGAAAATTAGTTCAAAAATCGCGATATATACGACACTCGTTAATCCAATAACAAAGTATGCTCTTGTTGTCTCTCCAATTGCAACAACTATTGAAGATA